TGTAAGCACGATTTCGTGACGGCTGTTCTCACACGCCAAGCATTCATCATTTACTTAGTTAAGTTTGGTGGTTCGATGGCTGTAGTCACGCGGTGTGATAGAAAATTCAACCCCAGCCATCGATGTTTGTGTTCCTAAGATTGCGCGCATGCACACTTAAAACAGTTTTATGTAATTTGTCTAACAACTTGGCTATGAAAAAGACGGGTGTCATCTTTGTGCTGGCATTTTCATTTTCATCTCATTTTGATCCACCCTATCTAACACTGAGCAGACCCCTTGCCTTTTAGGGGTAAGAAGCCTAGTGGTTAGAACACTAGTGGGCACATTGCATTTTCCGGCGAGGGACGAAATGGCTATTACGTTACAAAGCGTGTGTCTTACAGCTGCCATGCCGGTAACACAGGTGTGGGCCCCTTGGCCGATATGGAAGCCCTTATAGGGGGCAATCATACAGTGGTCGCCTGCCTGACGTCGGAGGATCCCTGACCCTGACATTTGACCCTAGGTCAGCGCAGGAGTTCCCATTGATGCAATAAGGATCGTTATCGTCGCCGATGGGCCCATAGTTGGTGCAGAAACTCCAGTTCGGCTCAACGGGCCCTTAATTTAAATGGAATGGGGCCCTCTGTTCTGTGCGGGGGGCCCTGACTGGCACAGGGCCGTTCTATTGTCTCATAGCGAACTCTCATCGTGTTCTCATATCGCCTTTCATTGTCAGATAGCCTCAATCAACGCTAGATGCCCTCTGGTATTCGGGGGTCCCGTCCGCGTCCCTGTTCAGCAAATGCTCCTCTGGCCGACTCGGGGCCCTTTGCCGACACAGGACACCCTGATGGGTGCTGTGGGTTGGCACAGGACCCTCATTATTTCAGGAGCCCTGATCAATGTAAAATTGCGGGTGCAGGCCTTGCCACTTCTGGGAGCCAGGATCCTAAGGCTCAGACCGAAACGGAGCCGGCTGTTCGATGTTGATAGCTTCTGGCCGTAATAGAAGTCCCCATGATCCCGAGGGCTCTCAATCGGCGCAAGAAGCCCTCTGACTGGCATCCAAGGACCCATCCCCGCGTTCGGGATCCTTAATGTGACCTAGAGCCTGCCCTTAGTGCCCTCCAATCAGGCACCAGATCGTCGGTCCCGAGAGGCCCTTCGGACTCATCTGCCGCGCCCTCGAATACTCCGCAGGTCGACTCTAGGGTCCTTGATTTTTCGTATAATGCGAGGTCAGTGGCCTAAAGTTTAATTAGTTTTTGCTATTTTGTCGTAGATAATCAAATTTTTATGCATTTTTGTGCAGTTTTGGTGTTTGTATATGAGGAAAAGAGTACTAACTTCAATTCACAACCATGATATGCCCTCCAAGCACATGGTCTTGACTCAGGTCATGACCTATCTCTATTGGTACCTTCTGCAAAACGCATGCTGGGGTCAAAACATGTAGTTCATTGCGTAATTTTAGAATCAGAATTAGAATACTCCGATGAAAGCATGTTGTGATATCATTTTAATGCATAATGAGATTACAATAGGTCATGTAAGGGCTGCAGGTTCATATGAGGTCATCCAAGGTCAATGACATATGTTGCCAGTAGCGGAGAGATTAGATGGACAAGTACGACGCGTGTACCTACCTCTTTATCTTACGCTAAAGCTGATGGCGTCTTGTTCATGCAACATACCTGTTCTCAGTTGATTACAAACACACTGACAAACGTCGAACGGACCATGCATAATGTAGACAACAGCTGTGCAGTCTTGAGTACCTGTAGATGTACAAGACGTTTTTTTCTGACCGCAGAAAGCATTGAAATTGGTCACATAGACTCGGTTAGCACTTACATTTTTTCTTTAATTACTTTTTAGGTTTGACATAAGCTGATCTCAGATGCCTCTAGGTCACTATAGAATGATAGTTTTGCGTCTAGAATGCTTTTTCACAGCTGCATCCAATGAAATAAACTGAGCCAGAAGCACATTGTAAAAGTATCTTTCTTTTAGGATACTTGTAAACCAATTTTGAACGGTGGCCTGATCTGATCTGGCCAAAGGTAGGGAACAAAAAAATGGTCGGAAGCGGACTCCCCATAATTCTGAAACTAATTTCCGTGCTCTCAGTATCCGCATCGACGTGGTAACATAGGTTTCAGCTGCATCTACCAGAACGACCCTTTTTCAGCTGCCGTGAACTCTGGTGACCTCACATTTAATCTTCGGCCAAATTTCGGCGTGAATTCTTGATGATTTGACGAGACTTTCAAAACGATGCCTCTGTCTAATTATACGGCACCTAGAAGTCCGAGATCTCAGGGAGAAGTCAACTTCCCCCGGCGGGACACGGTTGCCTCAGACCCCCGCCCGGGCACGGTTTAATCTTCCACGACATGGGCGAAGTTTCGCAAAATGCGAAGGGTGAGGGAGCTCAGCGGGGAAAATTTAGCGCTAAACACCTTAAAACAAGTTTCGCATCGGATCTGACTCATTTTCCTCTCAACGTCATGGAGTCAAGGTCGTCCCCCCAAATAAAAAGGGAACTACAGCCCTGTTTTAATACATTGCCCCACTCTGCTTCGGCGGGGGATGTTGCCGCTGGATAAGCATTGTCATTTTGTTTGGCGTCGATCGTCGAACCCAGGTTTCGGTAATCAGCGTATAGTCGATGTTAAGTTGCTTCAAACTTCGTTTGACGTGCAGCGCTTTGACAGTAAAGAGCGTACGTTGATGTGTATGACTATTAAAAGCTGCCATGGAACCTCCCCCCCCCCGTGGCTGGTAGCTGCCAGACGGAGCGCAGGTTAAAACGTAACGCTCGCGTCAGGTATCATCCGGCAAGGCTAGTGTTGTTTTCGTGGTCATTTTCGGACGGTTACTACTATCGACGTAATGGGCTGGTGTCGCGGCCAGGTGTTCGCAAATATTCCATCGAATATTCACGTCGAAATGGCGGTCGGTTCGTATAGATAAGACAGTTGTATTAGCCTTAAACTCCGGAGAAATAACGGCCGGTTCATTTTAAGGGTTCTCCTGAAATGATACGGTCAAGTTCATTTTGATAATTCCCTAGACCCCCTACAAAAGATCCCGCTAATCAAAAGATCCCCTACATCTCTTGAAATGATTCGGCCAATTCATTTCAAGGGTTTTCCTGAACGTAGATGGCTGATAACCTAGTCACGTTTTTGTGCCTTGGTTTTCGACCGGTTTGTATTAAATTTCGGATAAGACGTGGCAAACTAATACAACTTGCTGCAGTCTGTGGAGCCCGTAACGTCACTGAATAACGCCAGAGCACTCAGGCAATATCACAAAACTAGGCTGGAGTCTGCAAGACAATCGTGCAATGAAAAACATACAACATGCACGAAAAACAGTCAATACTCAAGTAAGCAGGTACGAACAAGCACCCGGGTGGCCTACTGAATACGATGCGCTCGGGTGGGAGGGGGTAAGTTGAATCATATCATGTCAAAAACTAAGAGGGCCGGAGACACCAAAGTCTTAAGATGGATGGGCCTATATGCAATCTGACTTCCGAAAGCATCTAATATTTCTTAATCATGGACTTCTGGTCAGAGAAGGTCAAACAAGGCCATACACCGAATTGGTGTGCACCCAGACCTCCTCATTGTCATTTTGAAAGTGCACCCAAACCTCCTCATTTAACCGCCTTGAACCTATATACCTGTTCAACGCAAAGGGTCACTGGTGTTTTTTTCAGTTCAGTGGCCTCGTCCGACTTCAAGGAGGTTAAGGTGACCAAAAACCTACAAGATTGCTATGTTTTTATTAGAATTTGAACAACCGTTTAGGATTACGCCAGATGATACCTTTCCAAGAAGTCTATCTGTGCCACATTAGATCAGTGGCCTTTTCTGACCTTAGGAAAGTCCTAGGGAGATATTCGTTTTCTTGTCAATAAGTTCGAAATGAGCATCAAAAATGAACCCACACAGACACATATTCAGTAAAATAGCAGATTGGCTTTAATCTCGGTGTGGCTCAAGGTCAATGTATGCTGTCGTTACTCTGAATCCAACTGTCCAATTGTCTACGAAACTATTTCGGAGATATACGGCTTCGCCTAACACTCCGTTGCCGCATCAGATTGAACAGTTCTCTATGGATTACCTTCGCTGAGAGCCACGGCTTGACTTCGACTTCTATACCGAAATATTCACTATTCATTTTACAGTTATATAAAGTTTGGCATGGCTGCGCCGCGCTGTTCGGAAATTATGCGCGAATACCATTCGGGGAGCAAATTATCCCACCCCCTATCCCCACCCGAGTGCGTGTTAAGAGCGTGACAAACCCAGTCAGCTGCACGCAACTGAACGTAACATCGTAGTTTGAATTTTCTTTGTTTTTTAAACCTGTGACAATGCGGGGCATCCTTATGTAAGATTCATATGATTCTTACACACGTTTACATAAGATTCATAAGCTCCCATTTTTAATGTCCTGCTGGTACATAAGGTCCAGAAGGTCGGGGGAAGGTTACCGTCGGTATATAGGGTCCAGAAGGTCGGGGGAAAGTTATCCGTCGGTACATAGGGTCCAGAAAGTCGGAGGAAAGTTACCGTCGGTACATAGGGTCCAGAAGGCCGGGGGAAAGTTACCGTCGATACATATGGTCCAGAAGGTCGGGGGAAAGTTACCGTCGGTATATAGGGTCCAGAAGGTGGGGGAAAGTTATCGTCGTTGCATAGGATCCAGAAGGTCGGGGGAAGGTTACCGTCGGTACATAGGGTCCAGAAGGTCGGGGAAAGTTACCGCCGGGAGGCCTCACTTGACCTTGGGAAGGTCAGTGGCTCACCGAAAAGAATACAGATTGACAACTGTGGATAAACATGTGAAGCTGCAAAGTTTGATTTTCGTGAAAACAGTACCTTTTGACCTGGCATAGTGGGGTCAGTTATTAACCACAGAGCACACAACTTACTGTCGATGATGTCGATGATACCTGGGGTGACCGAATGTCTCCTATGTCTTGGAATGAACCCATGACGCACACTAGGACTCACCAGTAAGCTAAAATTCCGGACAAGCCTGCATGAACATAAAAAGCTGCCAACTTGACCAAAGATGAAGCTGTTATAATCGTTTTTACACGAGTCGTGATGAACTGAAATTTGAATTACATTACCACGAGGCCATAATGTAAGGATAAGCAATGTGCAGTCACTAGTTCGCTTGGCTAATTAATGGTAGTTAAAAGGGTTATTGTCAAAAAGAATACCAGCAACCAATGTCATGCATTCGTTTTGATTTGTTTTGCTATAACCCAACGCCTGGTTTTTAGCACAGATTAGCTCTGGAATTCGGGTATCTAGTGAAAACTCAGAGACCAATACCTCCCTCCACCATACAGCAACAAAACAACGACAAGTAAGAGTGAATTTACCAGGAGTGAAGTGGAAAGCTGCATAGTTCCAATGATATGATTAAACAGTACCAATCGCGCTCTTTTTTGTCTGTCCGACCTTTACCTCTGACGATGAAATGCGGAAGACGAGCGCGCAAATGCCCCCTCAAAACATACGAGCCAACTAAGTGTGTGCTAGCTTGACAGCACAGAGAGTCAGGTATCCTCCCGCTGCACCAGGCCATTCCTCAGCAGAAGATCGTCGCCTTTCTTGAACATCTACCGCGAGCGCGGCGGCAGGGACCGATGCCCGCCGCGGGGGCGTCGACGCCCGCCTGCGCGGAAGGTTACCGACCCACCCCTGAGACCTGTGTCGACGGGGATAACTCAGCCGCGCTGCTCGCTGTTCCACCGCTGTCGTCAGCGGAGTGGGCGCCGTGGGCGTCGCCCGGCCGCCTCCGCCGCCTCACCGGCGCGTGTGGCGCGTGTGCGTGAGCGTGCGGGCGGCGCGGCGCGGCGCGGCGGCGGCGGCAAGAAGCGCGACCGAGCACGCATGCCTACGCGTGAGAGCGCGTGGCGGCGCGGCTGTGCGGGCGAGGGCGCGGGCGTGAGCGTGTGCGTGCAAGTGTGTGCAGCGTTGAGCGGCGCGCGGCGGCACCTGTGCGGGCGGCGGGCGCGGCTGCGCGCCGGCCGGACCCGTTTCCGGCCTGGGCGGCACGCCGGTGGCGCGGCGATCGATCGGCTCGGCCGGCGGCAGGCGGCCGCCCGGCGCCGACGGCCCCAGTGACGGGCGCGTACCGCCGCCCGCGCCCGCCCCGCCGCATGGCCGCCGGCTCCGTCTAGTGCCGCCTGAGGCCGGCGCCGTCCGGCTGCCGCCGCAGCGCTATGGAGCCGGCCGGCCAGCACGCAGCGCCGCCGGTGAGTGCAGCCCCGTCTGGGAGGGCTGGGTCGTGACCCGGCCCGCCCGCCACACAGGCCTCGCGACCGACGCTGAGGCCACGTCGGTCGCTGTGAGGTAGTGTCTGTATCAGGGGACAGAGTCTAATATACCGTGCATCCTCCTTTTCAATACATACCCCTTTCTTCGACATGTGCGAGTGCATTTTTGGGTTTAGAAAATGATTTTTTTTCTGCTTGCGCGTGTTTTGGTACTGTTTGTGATGCAATCGAATAATTATCAGTAACCGTCAACAATATGAGTGCGTAAGTATAACAGTAGAGCAATGATTCTTATGCGTTGTTGGTTGACGTAAAAGAGCGCCGGTAGCCATATTTCATCACAACTTTTTATTAACTACACCGTGTCACGTCGACATGCGTCATAAATAGCCTTGCAAACCATCATAATCGTTTGAAATATAGTAGAATATATTTTAAACAGAGGATGTACACAAGATAAGTTTAGTCGTGAAATCGTTAAAAGCTGCATTGTAGGAACAATCTTACCTTTAAAAGCAAAGCTAACTGGCTCACACGTTCTTGACTGGATCTTTATTGATATGAGTGACCCTGCAAAACGTAAAAAATCTATCACAAACTTATACCATTAAACCAACAAACTGACAGCACTTGTACTAAGATGTCCTAAGCTTGTGACATGTCAACAACGTTTCACTATTCTTAAGGATGCGCCAAACCTTTTGATGCGTCCGTTGGGTTTTTCTCCATGGAAATTAGTCATGTTGGCATTGACATTGACATTGCTCGACCAATAACCGCCAACCGAACATATATCAGTAATAGATGTAAAAGTATTGCATTGATTTCGGTTTTCTCAGTACACGATCTGATAAAGCTCTGACCTTGAATAATCTGATTTTCAACGCAGATAATTGTCACCAGTCATTTCAGTAATGCTTAAGTAAAATGTAAGGGATTATTTGACATAACCTGCACTTTTAATGGGCTACTTAAATGCTCTGTGTGTGCGTGTGCGCAACAATGCATGCGAATGAATCACAATTAACTAACATCTTGTTATGTTATGTCGTGACATGCTGCTATGCTATGTTACAACATGATGCTATGCTATGTTATAACATGCTGTTACGCTATGGACACAATTTTTCATTCAGCAGAAGTGCCGGATCGGATCAATTTGGAGGGACTCAAACGTTCCCAACTTTCAGCCCAGTAGGGCTTCGAACGTGACAGTGCACCCTCCCAAGCTTGAACGGTGTACTCGTGAAAGTTTAAGTTAGCCAGGAAACCAGAAACCCATCAGGAAAGCTTACCGATTTCAGCGATTTCACGACCAATTTTATCACATTTACAAAACAACCAAATATAATACATAATGATCATATATAATGTTAATAATATATAATGTAAAGCAAATATTAATACATAATGTTTGAATACTGTCAAAAACTTCATAGAGATAACTGTTCGTTAACACTGACAAAGGTCGACAACTAAAGATAAACAAAAAAACCTTAAACGGTTGTAGCTTTCATAGCAAAGGACCCAAGTCTCCATAAATAGAAGGACCCACGAGAAAACATGAGCATTCGCACCAAAGCCACTTTCATCTTCAATAAATGCGAGTCAACCAACTTTCGCTCCTCCTAGGATGTCGGCGCTAGAAGACGCCGGGGCGGGATGCCGGAGCGTAGAACCGACCCAGCAATTGTGCACCGAGTACTGGCGGACAGAAAAGTCACGCGGCGTGAATTGCTTTAGTCCGTGCTTGCTCCAGACAACACTATATGCAACATGCCGCAAAGATGGCATGAAGGTATGGTTCGAAAACGAAGACCTGGCTGGGGTTGCACATGTGCGCCACAACTAAACGGGGAAAAAAGCAGGAGGCCTTGAAAATGTACCGTAAAATGTAAAATTTATGTTTTGTGGTACACCACAAAAGTGGGAAGAAAGCAGTAAGCCCCTGGCAATCTACCTCAAACGGTACGGCGAGCATTCACGATTTCGGAAGGGTGCCAAATTCAGCATAGCCTACAATACGTGCCCAAAATTATTAAAGCAAAGACGGCAAGGCATGTACTGGCACCGCGCGACCCTCCCGCCAGTAGAATCGTCAGCGTACAGCACGTAAACGTCTGGGAAAAGTCCTCGTGAAGCCCACCATCGAAAGCGTCGTGGTGATAAACTATATTTTCATGTATTTATAAGATATTTTTACTTCACCAACCCAGAAGTCCGAGCTAGTGCACGATAGTACACTAACAAGAAAATGATAAACCAGGCGTAAAATATCGGCTTAATTCTAGGTTCGCTGAGAAGGTCATGATATGGGTTGTAAGGTCAGACCAGGACATCAAGCACCAGTACGTAGCACACATAATTGCTAAGAAGGCTACAACCTATAACAATGCGTGCATTTCAAGGTTGGACATGTTTATCAAAACAATCACAAAAACTGCGTTCTTATCAGAGCTTGCAACCGCTCCACTACCCCGAGGGCATGCACGAAAAATTGAAGGAGGAAAACATGAAGGTTTCTCTAACCCATGCCAACAGCACCTCAAATAAGGCCCATCGAAAAGTTTTGGGCACTCCAAGAACGAAGTCGAAAAACATGGTTGACAAAGATGGTTGCTGCGCAACACTTATGGCCGAGATGCAGAGAGGAATCCCATGCAAGATCCGGACTTTGGACCAGACCACCGTACGACGCCTCATTGGGGGTGTCTGGAGCACAGCGCGCGGCGCGGCGGCTGATGGGGGCAGTGGCGAGCCTCTTTGTACCTGGCGGCTGGTGGAGGACACAAAGCTGAGTTCAGTGATGGGCCGCCCGTGCTTCTCTGCACATTCGTCGTCGCGAAAAGTTGCTGTTTCGACTTTTTCCGATTCCCAATTGTGGTTACTCATTTCATTCACACATTACTGTTAGCACATGTATGTGACACTTACTACCGGCCGCCGCAGCTGGTGGCTCCTGTAACCCCCATTGGCCCCCAGCGCCGTCCCTAATCCGCGTGAACCCAGAAGTCTCACGCCGCCACTGGTGTCTCCCGGGCCGCGGCCCCTGAGACGCCACGGGCGCGTCGCAGACCCGACCACCGAGCCGCGGAGTCACCCGGTCACTTGGAGCGGACCCAGGTCCTCCGCTCTGTCTGGTCTGTCCCGGGCGGAAGAGACCCACCAATGTCAGCAGCGATCGGCAGCCACATTCCGACGTGTTAAACCGCTGAGATCATCGGTGTCAGCTCAAGTGGCGGGGAAGCTGAAATGGCACGGCAACGAAGCGAGCGGCGTTGCGAATCCACGCTGCCGTGATCGTTGTTTTCGGACCCAGGCCTCCAGTGCCTGCGGTGATCTCTCCCGGACGGAGGTCTCCAGCAGCACCGCGGGTTGCTCTCGAGCCTCAGCTTCCGACGGCACCGCTGGGCCCTCTTGGACCCGGGCATGGCACGTGACGTCGTCACCAGCCTCTCTCTCTCTCTCTCTCTCTCTCTCTCTCTCTCTCTCTCTCTCTCGCTCTCTCTCTCCTCTCTCTCTCTCTCTCTCTCTCTCTCTCCCCTCCCCCCCCCCCCCCCCCCCCCCTCTCCTCTCTCTCTCTCTCTCTCTCTCTCTCTCTCTCTCTGAGGCCAGCTCTCGACATCACCCCCAGTTATTCTGAGATGGAGCCCACGTCACTGTGTGAGTCTCCAATCGGAGACTGGGGCCTGAAATCACTGCTATATCTATTTGGCATCTACCTCTGTTTTGACCTTCGCACCCCACTGGTGTGATAACGGCTCGGATAACAAGTAAGCCTCTGGTTAAATTGTTAAGAGACGGAGCTTAGTTTAAGGCGCATAGTTTGAGGTTTTAGATAATTTAACAACGTATTCTAAACGAAACAAGCTTTGAAGGACTATGATACATGTCAATGATAAAAACCAATAAGCGGAAATGTTATCCCCAGCTTGGGAAAGCCAACGAAGGTCTTGCTGGTGGGGTTACTTGTTGGTGATAATGAGCGAGGAGACCATTCGAAAAATCCCAGCAATTGCCGTTCGAGCATAAAATCTAAACTCTCGAGAAGTAATTCGAAAAGATTTGATTTATAAACCGAATCTATATAGAAAGAATAGTTAAACGCACACCAGAAAGGTGCAGCCATCCTTATGCGCTGCTGCAGTGACTAGCGATGCCAGCCATAAACCATCATCCGCTAAGATTAATATGGCATAAGGAGAGTGTTCCAGTCGTCATCTAACATTCGCTGATAGGATGCATGAGATGTTTCCTTGTAAGGCTGCAAGTGGTTGATTTGCTTCGCTCGTAATGTTAACCAAGCATCACAAAGTATTAGAGCATGTTTTATACCCAGTGACGCAATCCCCTGGTGACATAAGGGCTCAGGCTACATACTCTTGGCGCCCGAAAATTTGGGAGACATTTCGGCCAGTGTAAGTGTCCTTGCCATAAGAAGTTCGAAGGCAGATGCTCCAAGTAGAGCGGCGCCGCTGAGCCCAGGTGAACGAGCCCCCTTAAGCGCACGCAGATCGATGTCTGACTCATTTAGGAGGGGTTCCAAGCCAGAGAAAAGGGCGCCACTAATCATCAGTAACAATTTGCCCTAAGTCTAGACAGGGGCGCCTCAAGCTCTAGGTAAAGGTAGGTCCTCAGCGACCGAGATGAGAATAGAGGTATATACTATGTATCTATTGCACAGGTATAAAGAGAGTCCCAATGTCCAGGTAGATTTACATCACCGAGCCCAAGCAGGGGATCATACAGAAGTCGAAACGTAAGGGAGTCATAAATTCAGCGAAGTGACACCACAAGCCCGGAAAGGATTCCCTTATCCCTAAAGATGTTTCCTTCCACGCCCAAGAGGAGAACGTTAAAAGCCTAAGCAGAGTGCGCTGAGCAAAGTGGGAAGATGGGTGTCTACAAACATAGGCAGACAGGTGCCCCAACACCAGGTGCAGGCATGCATGACTGCAGCCAGGAGGACTTTGTAGAGG